TACTAATTTTGAATCCCCCTCCACTTCCAATTGTTGGAAACCCAATTGCTTGGCCCATCTGAGCCCCTGGAGGAGCGCCAAAACTTCAGCTCTAAGCGAGTCCCCCACACCTATTGGGCCTTAAATTTTCTTGAGTGCAAATTTTTTTGGAGGTCCTTAAAGGTGTTTTTGTACAAAATACTCTTGTACAGAGGACCATACTTGTACATTTTTCTCAGTTAATATAAATTATACTTTACTTTTCTCAAAAAAAGATGGCCCAACATAACGCAAATAAGCCATCCGTTAGAAAACGTTCAGGGCTGTTTGCATGTGAAATCACATGCCTATTATATTTTATCATAATTCCAACTGTACCCTTCAATCATTGAAAGTAGAAAATACCCTTCATCACTGGTTTCACATCAAAGTAAGAAATATTTTTTTTCACTCAATGTCACCATGTTCAACCTGGAAACCAGCAATTCTGAAGCTAGAACCTATTGGAACAGTGGAGTGACTTGGAAAATGAACATCCAAATAAATAAACCTTCAGAAAACCCAGATGGAAAATATCAGTTCCGATCGTTTCTCACAGGGAAAACTGGAAAACCAATGTTGGCTTTGTTTGTTTGTTGTGCATATCCAAATTGGACAGGGACAACAAGAAGACTTGGGAACAGGACTGGCAGCAAGCCCGTGATGAGGAAGAGGGGTCTTGTGGGACCACGGTGTTGACCTCAAGTGCTTTCACTTCTTCCACAGTTCAACCTCTACCTCAATCCTAATATCCCTCAGTTCTATCTTGCTTTCTTGTAGGATTCCCTCTGCTATGAGTCACAACAGAGTATCTTTGAAGAAGCCATTAATGGAGTTGCAGGAGCTTTTATACTTGATTACAATTATCTTTGTTTTTTTTATCAATTACAATTATCTTTGTTTTTCCTCCACCAATCCAATTCTGGAGTTTATGGTAAAATGCAGAGTTCTAGTAAAGAGACTTTGGAGATGAAGATAGACAGTGAACTTTGAAATGTGCAAAAGCATCGTTATAAGGTTGTCTATGTAAATGGTTGACTCATATCATGCAATAGTCAAAGATGAGAGTTTGAAGGGGTTTATTGGCTGCAAGCACAGACATGTAAATGATGGACAGTGAACTTTGAAATGTGCAAAAGCATCGTTATAAGGTTGTCTATGTATATGATTGACTTGTATCATGCAATAGTGAATAGTCAAAGATTAGAATTTGAAGGGGTTTATTGGCTGCAAGCACAGACGTGTAAATGATGGACAGTGAACTTTGAAATGGGCAAAAGCATCGTTATAAGGTTGTCTATGTATATGATTGACTCATATCATGCAATAGTCAAAGATGAGAGTTTGAAGGGGTTTATTGGCTGCCAACACAGACATGTAAATGATGGACAGTGAACTTTGGAATGTGCAAAAGCATCGTTATAAGGTTGTCTATATAAATGATTGGGCTCGAGTATCACAGAATAATCGAAGTTTGTAAATGATTGGACTGCTGTTCTTATTGGATTCCTGCTACTGCTGCCCTTGACAAGTTTGAAAGTGCAAGGGTGAGATTGGCCTCAATATGATTATCAAAACAAAAAAGAAAAAAAAAAAAAA